CCGAGCCGCGGATCGAACGCGGGACCTCTCGCAGATATGCTTGGGTTTGTATCCCTAAGCGAGAATCATACCACTAGACCACCCGGGCTTGTTATATGTTTAGGTCTCAAGTTCTTGATTTATGAGCCTGGGCATGTCTTGTAGGTCATGAACAGCAGTCCCGTAGGTCTGTCTGTGGCCTTGTAGGCAGGCTGTCCTTGGTTCATATGGCTAACTGATTGGCGTGTCTATCTCCCTGCTAATTAACAGTCCTATTCATGCAATGAGCAAATCCTAGCACGTTGCTACGTATTGTTCGTGGATAGGGAAGAGTAAGTGTAGCCCCTAGAATATGTACATCATCGTTTTATATAAGCCATCATACACACGACAGACCGGCACACGCCCGCTACTAAAGCAGGTAGCTATGTCATAGTAGTAGTGGCCAGTAGTGCCATAGAAGGGATATCAAAGTCATCAAGCCCAGGGTTGACTGACATACGAGTATGGTACTGTTAACCCATATTTTCCAGCTATGGATAACAACCCCGTCACACGGCAAGAGCAACAGGCATGAACCTACTAGACATGTGAAACACTGGTCACCAGGACAGATAATGATATCACCATAGACATCATAGATGCGGTGAATTAGGGATGCAGAAGCGGGGGGCAGGGATACGGATCGGACGTCCCGAGTCTATAGGGTTGAACAAACAACCATGGCAAGACCGAAGGGCATGGCAGAGAACAACAGCTTATGGGTATATACCACCGGTAGCTCACACTTCAGCCGACAGAACATGGCTGAGTGTAGGGTCAATCGCGGAAGGACTACACAGCAAAGCCTGGGGTGGTTGGCTTGTATGTACCATATACCCACGGGCATAGTACCACTATATATCATCGGGAATCAGAGCATGTAGTACTCTCACCAGCCACAGAGCATTGATGGCCAGAGGACTACACAATCAACCAAAGGGCATACCAGGCCCTGAGGCATATACACTATACGACTACCGTGTGGCGACGTAGGCCATTACACCCACTGGTATAACCCAGCCAGCCGAAGCACAACCACATCATATGGCACACGAGGGATATCGAACAAACCAAAGCAGACGGACTGAGACAATTCACCCACATGCACAAGAACTCACGTCACACCACATCCATCAGGTCTAAGACACCAAGCAGAAAGTCGCCCACAGCAGCATCGCACAGTCCAGCGCAGAACCCGTTCACTGCCTACAGTGTACATGAAATCAAGCTTTGGGGATACCGTTGCCTCCATCGTGCAACGCAACCGAACCAACCATACGCAGATGCATATCATACCACCCACAAGAGTCACAAATACTCCACAACTGCGGAGGTAGTTGCGTAGCTACACAGCACTGCATCTTTATATCCTGAACAACCGAATGCGGAGAGAAGCATCTCATCCGTGCAGATCAGACAGACAGACAGAACAACTGTGCGCAAGCAAGGTTGCTAATCACCCCACTCCCAGCCAAACAAACTTTTTGACTTGCCGTGCTTCTGGATCCCGATGTTGCTTCGACACATGCCGATCTTGAGTTTCAAGAAATCGAGTTGCAGATGTACATGGTTAGCGTGGTATATCGGTGTGGCGATGCTAGGCTGCTAACATCTGTACCTACTGAGACCGTCGGTGGCAGGACAGCACGGGACAGATAGGATGACGATGGCCAACCTCCTCTCAGTCTCTCTCACACTCTCTCTACATTAGCACAGTGGTTAGTTATGCAGATGACCGACCGTGCAGTGCATGGTGATGATCGCTTCTTTTTCCGTCGGCAGAGTCAACTCTGATTATTCAGGAGATACCGAGTATCTACTCAGTTCCGCGACAGTCGAGACTCCCCCTGTTCAGCCAAAATTATTTATTGATTGATATAGATAGTATTTAGTAAGTATCTATCTTAGTACGGAGTAGCGAGGCGGATAAGGAGTCCATTAGCGATCATTAATAATTAACGAGGCAGAAGATAATAATAACCCAACCCTATAACTACGTACTTGATAGTTAGTTAATACCCCATCGGCTAACAAAAACCAAGCGGTGTAAAGTAAATCGAAATAAAAGATACCAAGTTACAAAACCAAGATGTGTTTAGTTTGTAAGAACGAAAGGGGAATCCAAATCAACATGCTGATTGGCACGATCAATAGAGGATGATAATGATGGTGCCCTGGTGGTGCCGGGGAGTGTTCTAGGTCGGGCCAAATGGAACCTGAAACCACACACCCCCTTTTTTTCTCTTCCCAGACAAGAGTTCCGCGTCGTCGTTTCTTTTGGACCAGTCCGGGCCCTTTCAGCCAGTTGAGAGTTATCCGGCGTTAAGAAATCGCCACCCGTCGGCCCTTCTGTCGGGCGGACGGGTCCGATTGGACAGTTCCCCGGTCGCGCATGTCCCAGCCCCACTAAGTTGCTGTTTAGGGATTGGTTCTGGGTTTTTCTCCATTTTATAAAACCTGTATTGGAAAGGTGTCCTGATCCTACACAGTAAGTAACTTAACTACTCCACAGTAAGCACAGTAGTTGATTGTTACAGAGGAGTAAGATGGATGGATAGATGGATCAATCGGTGCATTTGTTGGCTGCAATGAGATTGAACGGCTGGGATCCTGGCGGTTCACCAACCTCCATCATTGCATGGCTCAAAAAGTCAATTAAAATATGCAGCATAAGCAAGTAATATCCGTTGAATGCCAATCGCATGGCTGTGCCTGAGAGACGCTATGGTCTTATGGAGATGTCAGGCTCACTCGTTTGCATGATGGTGGTGCTTTGATACTCGTCAATTGGGATGTCCACAAGTTTGTCGACCACATTCGATTATTCTTCCATTGTACTTTGTGTTGCGTTTACTTAAGAATAGACGTAGACTCGAGGGGTTCGGAGAAAGACCGTGTTCCTGAATCCTACCTGCAAGGGCAGAGATTTATTTATATATAGGGAAGCTGGTCAATGGTTCACCGGCATAGTATGTCCGGAAACTATTTTCAATCTGTGTCAAAAGTACAGCCCATAGCAGAGGTTGAATTTGTTATAGAAATACCAAAAAAGTCAATATATAATCTGTAAACGTAGACAATATATCCACATGAGAAGGGAACCAGGGAACACCTTAGCAGAATAAATGAGACACACATATTGTGAGAACCTCAACCGGTGGTGCAGCAGTAGCCGGAACCATGGCTCCGAGGGTTGCTTGGTTGCCCTTCGATCTCGGTGCAGGTGTTTATTCATGTCACCGAAAGATTTCGGAAACAATTTTCAGAAGCGCATGCTTTTGACCTGCATTATGGCGGAAAAAGTCTTAAGAAGAAGAAAAAGTTGCCTTTCTGGGGTGATGTTCCGAATCTAATTTGGGAGCCGACTCTATCGTTCAAGTATCAACATGTTGCGTACACCCGTAGATACTAGATAGTTCGGTGGATGCACAAGCTTCACGTTCAGCATACATTCCCGCACAAGAGGACCAGTCTATCCTTCTAGAACCTTTCCCCTCTCAACACCGCCCGGAGCACAGCTTTCCCGGCGACAAGCGAAAGAAAAATGTCTAAGATGAAGCAGATACAGTAGTCGGCTGCTAAGCACTTAGTGTGTACCCACCGCTATGCTCTCCCAGCCTTCCCGCAGTGTGGTGAGAAAAAAAGGCTGGGAAGAAGGCAGACCACATTGTCTTGTCGATCATCTAGCCTGATTATCTCTTACGATATCCGGGAAGGCCCAAAGATAACCTTAGCTTGCCAATCAGAAACAAGATATTGTCGGAAGTCCTTCAAGGAAGCAAAGAAGGCACCGAAAGAAAAGCAAGAAACCACCCAAGTCTACCAAGGCTCAAAGTTGGGTCTAATGTGTAGGTGGGGGGTTCGCTTGCCTCGAACACTTCAATCTTAGTGGTTTGATGCTTACATTATTATCTGGGAAAAAACGGGTCACTTGCTTATGTGGTGTCAACGCATGGTTTGCTGAGTTGCGTTACGCAGTTTATCATGCAGGTAAAGTGGCTGACAGGTATTCCGTGTAAGGTAACTTTCAATTCTCCCCATGTGTTTGTTCATACGGGTCTTGTGAATTGACAGTACCACAATTTTGCTGCTGACGGGATCTCATCGATCAGACAAGCAGAAGCAAGCAAAAGAAGGCACCAGGGTCTATCATCGTCAGGTGGATAAATCAAATCTACATTAATATTGGGATCCATGACTCAAGGCACCCAAATCCCCAAGGGCCAGGTCTAT